TAAAAATCGGCCGATTTTATTTTTTAGCCGGAAATCATCGGTCGTTTCTTAGGTGCAGGGCCTCTTAAGTGTTTGATAGATCTTATCAATCGAAACTAAAACTAAGGAGAAAACGGAGGAGTAAAATCGTAAAAATCTGCTAATTAAAATCAGATATCCAAACACCGTCACGATCAGGATTTCCTTTGTTTAAACTTAATGAATTATCAATGAGTCTGAGAAGTATTCGTAATCAATAACTCACTCATCCCAAGTAAAATCAACAGAAACATAAAGAAACGATTTTTCAAAACCAAACTACATTCTGTCCACGAAAGAAGAAGTTCAGACTTTGATCATGCACAGGTATTTTCGATCTTGAAATGCACGCGAAAATTGTTTCCCTCGAGAGCGCGAAAATCTAGGTAAAATTCAAAACAATTGATTAGAATCGACTTGAACTTTTTAAGGTGACAAAAGCCTAAGAATTTGAGCGAAAAACCCTCTTCTTAATTTCTGTTTTTTAATTTAACGCAATTATACTCTGTTATCGCGGTGAGTTCTTCTTTGGTTGTGTAACTCCACAAATTAGATTTTGTCAACTCCAGTGATCACTATAACATTACGTGAAATTTGAGGGAATTTTACTTTGTGAGACCTGGTTCTCACTAGCGACAGAACGGCATAACGACATAATCGCGTATGTCGGTAATGAACATCGACATAAAAACACGAAAGATCAGTTTTTTCCTTATGTCGTTAAGTTCATGCTGTTATGTTGCTAGTATGTCATTATGTCAGGATGTCCACACTGCAAACATAACAACATAACGTCTTTCTTTAGTGCCGTTATGTTTATGTCGTTATGTCGCTAGTGTGAATATCCCGAAACCTTTGTTTGGTCGGCCCTACCTCTTTCAGCTTTGCCTTGGCATCAGCTAATATGGCCTGTTTCTCCTGCAGCTGGGATGTAGCCTGCGCCAGCCTCTGTTTTTTAGGCTCTACCACTCTGTAGATCCGGCCATACACCTCCATGGCCCGCACCCACATGCACAACGACTTGGCTGCCAGTGACACGCGGCCGATGATCTCTGGCTGAAAGTCTGCCTGAGC